ATATTCAAAATTTCTACATGCGATCAGAAAGTCAGGACCCGAAGCAAGAAGATTGAAAGAAGTTGATTTTTATATAACAAGAGTTATTGAGGAAGAGAAATCAGACGATTATGCAGAAGATTATCCACCAATCATACAAGAAATAGACGAATTCGATGATATGGTGAGATCTGGTCAAGGCATAACGTTTTTATCCGACGACAATAAAGAATTGCTTAATAGATTAGAAATAATATTAGCGGCCATGAAGGAAGGTCATCGATCGGACAGACAATACAACGAAGTCAATGCCATATTAAAACGGCTTTTGGAGAAAGAAATCATCACTATAAAAGACTATATAAACGTCATTAAAAATGTCCAATAAAGAACAATTGTTCGTTATCACCTCGAATAAACCAGACATTAAATTGTCTCTAGACTACGAGTATGAACTCGATCGCAATAAACAGTACGAACTGGGATTAAAGTATTTCTCCGTTTACAATTCCATTAGAAACATCAACGAAAAAAACAATCAACTAAAAATATCGACGGATAACGGAGTTACGTTCCAAACCATAAGCTTACTACCGGGGAGCTACGAATACGTAGCCATCAACGATTACCTATCCGAATACGCAGGAAGCGTGAACGGCAAAAACAATATTGAATTCGAAGGTAATTTGAATCTGAACAAAATAAAACTGATCTTGAGAAATAACAGTCAAGTCGATTTCAAAATAGAAAATTCGTTGAATGCGTTACTAGGCTTCGATAAACGAATATACGCGCAATCGACATTGGCCCCGCACAAGGCCAACATCGAGAACGATATCGACGTGATCAACATTCACTGTAATTTGATCAACGGTGGATTTTTCAACAAGCACAAACGCCAAATCATATACAGCATACCGACGGTGCCGATCGGATACAGAATTATAGAGAAACCGTTTCAAACGACCTATTTACCAGTCAATTCTTTCATGATCAAAGATATAAATCTGGAAATAAAAGACGGTAAAAACAGGTTCATAGACTTTGGCAACGAAGAAATTGTCATTCAACTTCATTTAAAACAATCTTCATTCTCTTTTTGATTAGAAAGATAATCGAAATCATCAAATTCATAGTTTTCGTCAAAACTATACTCGTCTTTGTCGTTGTAAGGATACATAATTCGTTCACTGTTTGGTGGTTTTCTTTTAACATTATTCAAATAACTTCTAAAAACTTTAGTTTGTTTATCATTTGGAATAACTACTCCATTGGTGAAACTTTTTTCCCATGGTTTATTAAATTCGTTCGACACATCATGTCCGCTTGCTAACTGAACGTAATCTTCTACACTTATCTTATCATTAGAATAACCTTTAAACGTTTTCTTTTCTTTTAAGACACCATCAGAAGTCAAAACGATGTTGTATTTGACTTTTGGTGCTAAATATAAACCAAATATAATTCCACCGTCACCGTAATCGTTTTTTACCTTTGCAATAGTCTTTTTCGGAGACCAAACCAGCTCTGTTTAGTTTTTTCCAATTTTTGGATGAAATGTACAAACTATCGGTGTCGGTATAGTATATTTAGGGTTTATAAAATCCATTTATGACGTGAATGAAATTGTTCATTATTTTTTTACTGTGAGATAAAACGAATGATCCCAAATGACTAGGTGTTAGTCGTGTAGATTTACTATCTTCGGTAGTAATCTCTTTTTCTTCAATTTCCGTTTCAACAATATATTGAGTATCATTAATTTTCTCATAGGTTTTAACCCGTGAATCAAAGTTGGCCTGTAAAGTTGCTTCATTCTATAAATGTCTAGTTGTGAATATGTCTTTCTGAATTGATTTACCATACAAGGAATTACCTAATAATTTCATGCAGTTACTACCCACGATATTACCTTCTCGTTTATATTTATTTCTTAAATCTCTCAAAATTAAAATATAATCTCTATAGGGTGGAGTTTTAAAATTTTCTTCGTAAACTATACCATCTAATATTCTAATAATTCGTCCACCGGCTTTCACTATTTCTTGAATATCGACCGATGTTAAAACGTCGTGACAGAAACCATTTCTGAACCTGATTTTGTTACCAGTTTCCTTTTTACCTTCTTTATTCGTGAAAGTGATTTTATCTTTAGCTGGTATCGGTTGGAAGAACATGTTTTTGGGATAGTCAAACCACACTGTTAAAATAGCTGTTCTAGGTCTGAATTTTTGTTTATTGAACAGCATCACAAATTCTTTTTCTTCTTCTGGTAGAAACGGTCTTCCACTTTCCGCTCTCGGATATTCACTGTCTAAATCCGACATGGCGGAAGCGTATAAACCGTTAGCATCAAATGCCATTAGTTTAGTACATTCTATTTTTTTAAGTCTTGAATGAACCTCCGTTTTGTCTTTTGTGCTTGCGCTGTATTCTTTGAATAAATCAATTATGTTATTACTTTCACTTTGTGAAATATATTCCTTTAATACGTTACAAATTTCATCCATTTTGTTCGTTTCAAATGATTTTCTATTTGCCGAAACTCTTCCTCCTTTAATAGATCGTCTGATAAAATTTCTTATAAAAGGATTTGTGTGCGAATAAACTTTTTCTATATTTTCTTTTTCGGTATGTTTCGCAACCATTCTAGTAGTTTCATACCATTCTTCTTCCACCATTTCTTTATCGTAATGATATAAATAATACCAACCCTTTAAAGATAAAGATGGAGCCGTTAGATTATTGGACATATTCTGGTTTACAACTTCTTTCGTGACTTGGTTGTATTTTATCAAACAAGCTCCCAAACAGAGAGTGTCTCTCTTGGCGTAAGGTTCCCATTCGTGTCTCAATTCCTCCCAGTTGTCTCGCGTGTATTTAGCGATATCTACGTCGGCAATCTTTCTCAAATTCGCGGGAAGATTGGAAGAATTTCCCCATGCAGCCAAACTAGAGGATTCGTGTTGATAGGAACACGTGAAATTAATATGTTGTAAATAATTACCCTTTATTTCTTTCTGTCTTTTCCATTTTTTCTGTAAATCTTCATCCGTGTATGGATTAGATAAAGGAAAAGATAGAATTCCTCTGGGTGTTTTTAAAGGGCAATGCGTTAGTTTTTTTTTGCATTTTTAAGCACGATCCAGTTGTCGAATCCACTGCCGTTATGAGAAATTAATATTAATCTCTTTCTATCATATTGACCTAAATATTTCAACATTTGATCGATGCAATCCGTACCTACAAATATTTCTACTACATTCATTAGTTTATCATAAAATTCTTCTGGAATGGGATCTGACGGCTTTAAATCTGGAAAGAGATTATTTATTCTGTTTAACATTTTTCCTTAGTTTTTCTAAATTAATTAAAGTGCAACAATATGGAATTGCTCTTCGCGTGTCTTTTTCTGAATACGTTTCGCAATCCCAAGCGAATAACGCATCATCACTCATACTCGAAAGCACGTTTAGTTTGAGGGGTGAAACCTGTGTTACTGCATTATCGTCTCTACACGTTTACCACACCTGTTCGTAATTGTCTTCTATTTCTTGAATTCCCAAACTTTTTTGGCTTCTTCTAATCAAACGGAAATGCGAGTTGTGTAAGTACAAAACCCAATCTAATTCATCGTGAACGTCTTTGGGGTGAAAATGTCTGTTTTTGGGATTATAAATTTGAAACGAAGTGTTAAATTTCTTGTTGAATTCATTCATTCTAGCACAAGTCATCACTCCTTTTCTATTTGCTTTTGAAAACCCGTTGATGTATTCTTGAAATTTACACGTTAAATCTTTGTTCAAAACACGATTGACGCATTTGATAAAACAGTGACCATCTGTAGGTATGTAACAATTTTCGCCTTCGTATTCATTTATCTTTTTAAGCAGATCAGTTCCTCCTCTGCCAACTCTCGATCTTTTTATTTCTTGGAAATTGTCTTTCATTAAAATTATTTTTCCTGTAAAATACCAATCGGAAGCATCGGATTTTTTGTCCATATTTGAAAAGATATTGTGAAAGGTTTTGGCATTGAAACCGAGGAGTGACATGTATTGTCTGTGATTCCCTTCCTCGACTATCTCTCCATCTATTTTAATTTGTCCTTTGAATGTTTTAAATTTATCAGAGATAGCCTTGATAACATCGGAAAATAGGGCGTTTTCTATCAATGTTTCATCAAGTTCGATTTTAATCATATTTTTTTAAGTGTATATTTTTGATTATTTCTTTATTTTGACCGCTGATATTTCTGTATGGAATTTGTCCAAAATTTCATTGAATTCTTGTAATTCTTCAACTGTTATGTTCTTGTCTTCTCTCGATCTTTCGAAAAAGATGTATAATTGATTAAGATACATATTCAAGATATCCGTTTTCTTTTTATAATGAGCTTTCATTTTACTCGTGAAACCTATAGCAATCAAGCCACAAGATGAAGTTTGAATAGCAGTAATTGTGGCTAATACAGTTGGGACAAGTACAGGAACCGTTAATCCACCAGTCACGGCCGTTGCAAGTCTTGTTCCTATCGTTAGAACTACACTCGCTGTTTTGAAAACAGAATCGATTCTACTCCATGTTTTCCTGCATGAATTGTACTGTCTTAACTTTATTTTTAACTCTTCTTGTTTGTCTATCATGTATTGTTGTCTGCTTTCGAGTTCCATTTTTTAAGTCGTTAAATTAAGTGAATTTCCGATAAATAGAACCACGGAATATCATATAGAGCGTGCTTGTTTGGCATAGCATTATTATATTTGCGGGTATTAAAAGTAAAAACATTTACGCGTACTAACGACATTTCTTTTTTCGTATGGTCCTCTTTAAGATGATAGGAATATTTTATTTTTTCTTTTTCGATGTTTATCTTGGCTCTAAAAATAAAACCACCACCTTCAAGGATGGAGTCTTCGGCAAACGATAAATGCACTATAAATTTTTTCTTGTTGACTTTTATGAACATCGATCGAAGTGTATTTTTCACCTAAAGCGAAATATAGTTTTACGTATTCAAAGTCTGTTGTTCGTAAAAACTCGTGACTGGTTGATTCTATTTTTTCGTGTACGTGTAAGCGTCGTGGAATTTTGGCAATGTTGGTTGATGGTGGATTTTCCGTCTCCAATATCATATCTAAATCTTTGATTCCAATGACATCCTTATCATTTTCTACTTCCATTTTAAAGGTGTCTACATATTTACCATTTTTCGTTTCAATTTCCTGATCCCTTTTATCAATCAAACGTATATTTTCCTCCAAATTACCATCATTGAATAATGAAATATGTTTGACGGCCTTACCGGTTTGTTTGAAGACTACTTTATTGACTTTAACCTTCATGGGAAACTCTATTTGAATCAGACAATTACCTCGAAAAGAAAACTCTTGCGTTTCGCCGATATCGAATACGTTTTTAGGTTCTCCGTATGCGAGAGAACCCACTTTTATTTCTGCTTTGAATCCGTATTTGTTTGATTTATAAATTTGGTCTTTTCTATCGAAGACGTGTCACTTTCGAACGGAAGATTGAAATAATACGATTTGTCCGTGACAATAGCTTCTAATTTGCTCAACTTTCTCTCTTGTCTCAAAAAATCGTCATGAATTCTAGATACCAAAAGATTGACCTGTTCTTTAATATAATTTTTCATATCATCTCGAAATTTATTTTGAAGAAAGTTTTTAATCACACCCACTTCTTTTTCTAATTCGTCCGTGATTTTAGTATCCAAAGCAGTCAATTGTTGTTTCAACGTATCTTTGTCAATGGGAAGTGTGTTAATTATATCTTGAACATCTGATTTTTGCTTAGCGATCTTTTCGTTTAAATTGGTTATCGAATTTTGTAACTCGGTTTTGTCCGCGGTCTTGTCTAGTTCTGCTAGCATTTCGTCAAGTTTTCTTTCCAAAGCGGTT